ATAATCAATCTGGTTTCGGTATTGACCATCTGGTGATGTCCATGTGTAGAGTCGTCTCTTGTGTTGTTGCATTTTTTTTTTGTTGTTGTTAACCTATACCAATAAATCTTTCCTTATTATTGTATCATTATCACCAGCATTTCACTAATTAAGATGTTTACATGCACACGCAAGGAGCTTTCAGCAGAAGCAACACCATGCAGAGCACAAGGAGCTAACAAATATGAAGAAATTAAAGGCATAAGAGAAAAAAGGGAAATATAACCAAAACTAGTTCATAGCAATCTCATTCATAATGCCTTTTCACCCCTTTCTGTCTTTGCAAACCATCCTTCTTGTGCCACCTCCAAACACTGCTTTATACTTTGCGTTTTGTTTTTTATAATCATATTTCAGTTTCTGAAGATTTCATCAACTCCATCCAACCATCCTTCCCTTCCTGTTGGCCCATTCACTCTTCTACCATATGTTTGTTTTATGATTTGATCTTGGGGTCTGCTGGTGGCCATGGTTGAGAACTGAGAAAATGTTTGTCAAGAAGGAGAACATCTAGATGTAGGATGACTATGAATTATGGTGCATGGGACATATAGATTGTACAGTTAGGGCTTTCCTGGAGCTCAAGATTTTAGCTGCTACTTCACAAAATGTCACAAAAGAAAAAGAGAAATGTCTTGTCCTCTCCTGTCACCACCAGATAGAGAAGCCAAGGAGGTGTTTGCCAACAAGGAGAAGATCCAGAAGGAGATCAAGGCTGTGGCTTCAGAGAATGTCTCTCTCAGCTGTGAGGTGGCCCAGGCTAAGACAGAAGTCAAGTGGTTAAAGGATGGAAAATTGATTACTGCCAGCAAGAAATTCAAGGTAGAAGCAGAAGGGAGATCCCGTCATTTGGTTGTGCAACAGGTAGAGAAGAAAGATGCAGGTGAATACACCTGTGAGGCAGATGGCCAGAAACTGAACTTCAAAGTAACTGTTGCAGGTAGGAAAAGATTTTGCATACTTTTGGAACTACTCTATTGTACATTGGGGTGTTCTGTTTCCAAATGCTTCAATCATTGCTGTTTTGGAAGTAATTATTCTTTCTAGCCATAGATGAGAAGATAGAAATTTTAGAACAAAAGTAATTATAGAGGATTTCACTGCATTTCCTTCCTCATTAGGCTATCAAGGTGAGAAAGAGATACAAAGTCACACTTCTTAATTCTCTGCTACTACGTAAAATGCATTGGTCCCATTTAAAGTGCTATAAAAATGATATTTATGAATCAAGGGAAGTGAAAAAAAATTGCCTTTTAAGCTTAACAGCCTTGCTACCCAAAGTACCCAAAATAGTTGCCCTGAGACTTTTGAGGAAATCTCATTCTTTCAACAATCTGTTGAATTGTTTTTGAGAGAATTCTGTACATAACATATGAAAAGTGGAGGGATATCCGTAAATCTTACTGATGTCTTGTATGGCGAGGTCTCCTTATGGTACTGTTTGTTCTGTAGAAAACCAGAAGAGGGATGCTATGGGAATGCCCCAGTTCTCCTTATGGTGGATGTCATTTACTGCCCTGTGATCTAGGAAGTGATGATTCTAAAGTAGAATAAAGGAGAATAAAGGTTGAAAAGTTGAATTTTGTTTGTCCTCCTTTTCAACTCAGATGCAAAAGCTGAGGAGGCGTTTGTCAACAAGGAGAAGGTCCAGAAGGACATCAAGGCTGTTGCTTCAGAGAATGTCTCTCTCAGCTGTGAGGTGGCCCAGGCCAAGATGGAAGTCAAGTGGTTCAAAGATGGGAAACTGATCACCGCCAGCAAGAAATTCAAGGTAGAAACAGAAGGTGGAATCCGTCGTCTGGTTGTGCAACAGGTGGAGAAGAAAGATGCAGGTGAATACACCTGTGAAGCAGATGGCCAGAAACTGAACTTCAAAGTAACTGTTGCAGGTAAAAAAAAAAAGCCTTTCTATTACATACATACATACTTGTATTACATCCTCCCGTATATGGAGATAAAAGTTAAGTTACCAAATGAATACTTTTTGTGTTGATTATTCAGATCAGCTCTCAGAAGCTCTAACAGAATGGTTTCAAATTAGGTCAACACAAGCATTTGTTTCTGCAGCCAATTTTGCCTAGTGCAGATCTACCTTTCCATGTAGCTGGAAATCTGGTGGCTTCAACACAATGGCAGAACTGCATCAGTGTTAGACAAAAGTAGACTCCTCAGAGCAGTAACTAAATATGGATTTTTTTTTAACCTTTAAAAGTAATGTTTTAATTTTTTTTTGTCTTGGTCAAGATTCAGAAGCTGAAGTGGTACAGGTAGTCCTTGACTTATATCCACAACTGGGACCAGAATTTCTGTTGCTAAGCGATGTGGTTGTTAAATGAGTCATGCCCAATTTTATGACCTTTTTTGCTGTGGTCGCTAAGTGAATCACTGCAGTCATTAAGCGAATCCCATGGTCATTGAACGACTCTGGCTTCCCCCACTGACTTTGCTTGTTGGAAACCCCCTGGGAAGGTCACAAATGGCAATCATGTGACCCTGGGATGCTGCAACCATTGTAAATACATGCCGGTTTCCAAGTGCCTGAATTTGGATCACGTGGCTACAAGGATGCTGTGATGGTCGTAAGTGCAAGGACTGATTGTAAGTCACTTTTTAAAGCACTTTTGTAACTTCAAACAGTTGTTAAACAAAAGGTCATAAGTCGAGGACTACCTGTATTTGCCAAAGAGGCAAACATCCAGATGTCGGATGATATATCTTATATGGCATAGAATATATAGTTTGGACCTTCCTGAAGCTCATAGCTTTAGCTGTTAAGGGAAACAACAAAATGCTGTAGGAGAAAGTGAATAAACCTCTCTTGCCCTCTCCTTCCACTATTAGATAGAGAAGCTGAGGAAGTCTTTGCCAACAAGGAGAAGGTCCAGAAGGACATCAAGGCCATCACTTCAGAGAATGCTTCTCTGAGCTGTGAGGTAGCTCAGGCCAAGACAGAAGTCAAATGGTTCAAGGATGGAAAATTGATTGCCTCCAACAAGAAATTCAAGGTAGAAGCAGAAGGGAGATCTCGTCGTCTGGTTGTGCAACAGGTGGAGAAGAAAGATGCAGGCAATTATACCTGTGAAGCAGAGGGTCAGAGACTCACCTTCAAAGTCACTGTAACAGGTAACAAAATATGTGGCCTTTATTTCCCATCATATAAGCAGGATCAGGAACTCTCTATGTTGACAAAAATAGATATAGATGTTTTGCAAAAACTATGGCAATTATACTTTTTTATTGATCTGGTACACTATTGATCTGAAATGACTCAGAGATTTTGGTTAGTTGTTCTAGCTTTCTAGAAACAGAGGATGAGCTCCTATTATATTCCTTTTAGCAAAGAGCTCCAGGTAGCTAGAAATCTCATGTGGTCTACAAATCTAGGGACAGGTGAATCAAACTAGCTGAAAACCAAAATCCAACAGGAGAACAGTCCCTAAGACATTTGTTATTGGTATTTCCTTTGTTTGCTTTATTTTTTTTAACCCAACTCTGGTCATGGTCCAGAAGCCGAGGAGATGTTTGCCAACAAGGAGAAGGTCCAGAAGGAGATCAAGGCTGTTGCTTCAGAGAATGTCTATCTCAGCTGTGAGGTGGCCCAGGCCAAGACAGAAGTCAAATGGTTCAAAGATGGAAAATTGATTACTGCCAGCAAGAAATTCAAGGTAGAAGCAGAAGGCAGATCCCGTCGTCTGGTCATGCAACAGGTGGAGAAGAAAGATGCAGGCGGGTACACCTGTGAAGCTGGAAAACAGAAGTTGACCTACAAAGTCATTGTTGAAGGTGAGAATGACAATTGCCTCCACACAGAGTGAGTAACACAAAGGTTGTCCCATCAGGAAGGCTGATTCTCTCTGCATTCTATATTGATAGGCTTTTGTTGTTATTTGTGTGTTCTTGAACCCTTCTCCACCTGCCTACCTCAGATGAGTGGGATGTAGAAGCAGTTATGAACTCCTCTAATGAGTTACAAGCCTCCAGGCTTTAATGCTTAGGTTGGGAAAAGTATGAGTATCAAATTTAGATAGATAGATAGATAGATAGATAGATAGATAGATAGATAGATAGATAGATAGATAGATAGATAGATAGAGTCCTTGACTTACAACAATTGGGAACTTCCATTGCTAAGCGATGTGGTTGTTAAGTGAGTTGCACCCGATTTTATGACCGCTTTTGCTGTGGTCATTAAGCAAATCCGGCTTCCTCCATTGACTTTGCTTGTCGGAAGCCCCCCAGGAAGGTCGCATATGGCAACTATGTGACCCTGGGACATTGCAACCATTGTGAATACATGCCAGTTGCCAAGCACTCCAATTTTGATCACGTGACCGTGGGAATGTTGCCACAGTGGTAAATGTGATGACTGGTCGTAAGTCACTTTTTTCAGTGCTGTCGTAACTTTGAATGGTTGTTAAATGAATGATTGTAAGTCGAAGATGGCCTCTATAATTTAATGGATGTATTGATGGATGGATGGAGATTTGCCTACTTCATTTTTCAATTAAAAAAAAAAGGTTTTTAAAATTCAAATAGCATGCACATGGATAGGGAAACATTTTAAAAATCTGTTTAGATAAGGGTGGCATATACACTAGGATTATCCTGCAGGCTTAGCAATTAACATTTGTGGTCAGGGGGCACAAACGCCCAGGATCTGAAGCCTCCTGAGCATTCACCGTGGCTTTTCTAAGGATTTAGGTTGAATCCTAGGATGAAGCCCCTTTAAGATAAACCATGGTCGACACAAAAGTGTAGGTCCTACTCACACCCTGTGTAGTTCACATCTGTTGCTTCGTTTCTTCATTTCCCCCCTGCAGCTTAATGAAACCCTTGCTTTGTGCTTCTCCAGCTTGGCGCCAGGATCATCTTCTGGGGGAAGCAACGAAGTCAAAAGGGCTGCTGTGACCTCATGATCAAAGCCCTGCCTTTTGTTGACATGTCTCACATGCACAAAGCACATCAACAAGGGGTGGGACTTTGACCTCCTGGTTGCGGCTGCCATCTTGACTTTCCGACCCCATCCCTATTTGATGTTAGGGGCAGTTGATTGTTGAAGAAACTAGCAGACCTCCTCTGAGAAGCCCCACCTCTTAATCCAGCTCCCCTAAGTAGGCCCTCTCTGTCATTTGGACTTACAGCCCCACTTTTTGCCAGACTCTAGCGGGAAAATGTGGGGGCTCCCAGCTTTTATGATGCACATTTGAGAGGAAAGCATGAATTATAGCAAAAGAGCTAGTTTTAGGTAAGCGATTTTGGACTCTGAACAAGGATACAACCAGAAAGCTGCTGAAAATCCTGCCCTCCAGGCCATGAGCTGGCAGAAAAATATGCTGGTATAAAATTGACCAAGCTGACAAATTTTTATGCTCCTTAATGGACGTGCTGGGTGAGTGGAGACAGGTTTACCCACCACTCAAGTTGCCTGATGAACAAGTTCCAAGCCAGGCACAGCATTCTATGCCTGTGATCTGTCAGTCGGGCTATTTCTGGACGCAGGTCCAACGCTCTTCTGCAAGCACTGTCCTGCTGCTACTGCTTTTCTTGCCAGTCCAGAATCCCCCACCCCAAGGTATGGGTGACATAGCCAACAGATTTTATAGCACTTTGAGGCTCTCTTGGTGGCAAAATAAGAGGAAAAACACTCCTATAATACTAGTACAACCAAGAATGACTTAAGGTTGTGTGTCTCCTTGGTTGGGGATGAGATGAAGACAATATCATGGAGACATGGCAGAACAAAGAGGTTACCAGGAGGTGTTTGTGCTACAGGTAGGTGTGAGAGGATACAGGCACATGGACAGGGATCCAGAGTTGTCCACCAGGTGGGTATGGGTGGTTGGGTATTAGTTTAAGATAAGAGAGGACTGGATGCAAATTCTCACTCAACTTGAAGAAGTTGACTCTCGTTATGCAAGCCATACATCCATGCCATCAACAGATATGGCTCTCCTTTCTTCCACATCACAGAGCTTCCTGAAATATTTACTAATAAGGACAAAATAAAGAAGGAGGTCAAGGCGGTCCTGAAAGAGAACACAGTGTTGGCCTGTGAGGTGGCTACTGCTGACACTCAGGTGAAATGGTACAAAGATGGAAAACCTATCACCTTCAGCAAAAACATCAAGATGGAGTCAGAGGGAACCACCCGGAAACTGCATCTGGAGCAGGTGGCAACCAAGGATATTGGAGAGTATACCTGTGAAGCTGGTGGCCAGAAACTGACCTTCAAGGTTGAAGCAATAGGTAAGGTCTCTTCTCCTTTTTACTGCTGGTGCTGACAATTTCTTGTTGGTGTTTGCCACGTGTACCCTGACTATTTTGGGTTTTTAAGTGTCTATAAACCATCAGTTGCTTTCAATGAGGCAATATATTATGCAATTATTCTGTGAGATTAAGCAAATGTTGACACGGAGGTTTGATTCACATCCTTTAAATAAATGTGACTTTTGATCCAAATAACCGGAAAGTGTGTAGTTGATACCTCCATATTAATTCAACTGTTTCTCTGTCCTAATAGAGTGTGAGGTGCAGCATTGTAACAATATTAAATGTGTGCCTGGCTTGCTTGCCTGCCTGTGATCTAGGTTTGATTTCTTGTGTCTTGACGTGCAACATGGCTTCACTTCACATCTTGTTTATTTCAGTTTTGGCATCATAAAGAAATCTGGAAGTATCTTTAGATACTTATTTTCCCCTGTTGTTCTTCCAGAACCAGAGGCCAAATTCCGAAGGAAAGCTGCTCAGGAGGAAACAGTTGTCACCCAGGAGCACAAGAATGTCATCTTCTCCACTTTGGTACAACCTGATGATGCTGAGGTCAAGTGGTTCAAGGATGGAGTTGAGATCAAAGATGGCAAGAAATATGAGATGAAGAAAGAGAAGGCTGCTAGGACCTTGACTGTGAAAACGGCTGAAGTCAAAGATGCTGGTGTGTACACCTGTGAAATCAAGAGTGAAAAACAGCAGTTCCAGCTGAAAGTGCAAGGTGAGAGGGGGGGAAAACCCCACTTGGAATTCATCCCAATGGAATTGACTATCCTGGGATGCCAAAACAACTTGCTTATGTTTCCAAGCCCAACTCACAGTGCTAGCATGAGATAGAAAGATAAGCTCAGCCAAAGCTGAAAGAGATCATCTCAAACTCATTCCAGCCCCAATGTGGTGTCAGAGTTACTTGAGTCTCAGTAGTTACTAGTCCAACCTTAGAATCATGTCTTCCTTGAGCCAAAATATATCCATAAAATAAATTATTGTGAAAAGAGGGGTTCTGTGTTCAGCACATTTTATACAGATAGAAGTTTGCATCAGGTCTCCTGATAATGATTTCTGCTACTTAGGAAAAACAGAAGCTACGGAGGGTTTTCAGGACAATCTGCAAGGGGTTAAAAGTCAAGATGGTGGTTGCAACTGGGTGACAGATTTGTCTGTCTTCTTTTTTACATGCATTGTGATTGGTTGGTTGGTTGAGTTTTTGGTTCCCCTCTTCCCCCTTACCCCCATCAACTCCTCTGCATGAGAGGTGGGTACAGCTATGTTTACCCAACAGTTCTGACTAGCTTGAGAATCACAGCTTCCCAATGCCCACCTCCAGCCCTAACACTGTCCAACTGACCTCACAGAGTTGGTATTGGAGAATAAAATCCAAAGGAAAGATTCTATCTAGACCCCAGTTTGGTTTTTTTGTACCTTTGCAACCCTGTGATGCTACCACCCCTTCTTGTCCCCGCTATACTTCATGGTGGAGAAGACAAGCCCTGCCTCAAATTTTACAACCTGAATTTGCATTTGCAAAGTAGAACTTCTGGGCTCTCTTGTTAACCTGAATTACTTTTTCTGAAAGTGCCTGCAATATATGGCCTGTCTTTTGACCCAAGTACTTTCTTCTTCCAATTCTACTTCAGAAATACCGGTTAAATTTGCCAAGAAGCTGGAGCCGGTGAAAGCTGAGATTGGAAGGACCCTGAGTTTGAGTTGTGAACTCAGCCAGCCTGAAGGCGCGGTTGTCTGGCGCAAGGATGGAGTGGAACTCAAAGCTAGCAAGCGCTACCAGATGCAAGAAACTGGTGCAAAACGGGTGCTGATCATCACAGGCCTGCGGGCCGAAGACAAGGGAGATTACTGTTGTGAGACAAAAAATGACCAATGCACCATTCAGGTCACACCCACAGGTAGCTACTGATGTTATGGGGTACCATAGGAACTGGCTGTTACAATCCTGGTTGATCTGATCTTACTTGGTCAGATGAACCAAAGCTAAACTTCTAGGACTCTGTTGCCATATGATACCTGTTTTAGAAATGTACAGGTAGTCCTTGACTTACGACCACAATAGAGACCAGAACATTTGTTGGCTAAGCCACGTTGTTGTTAGGCGAGGCATCATGTGACTGCACCCCATTTTACATTTTTTGCAGTGGTCGTTAAGCGAATCACCATGTTGTTAAGTGAATCACATGGTTGTTAAGTGAATCATGCAGTTCCCCATTGATTTTGCTTGTTGGAAGCTGGCTGGGAAGGTCACAAATGTTGATCATGTGACCCTGGGACACTGCAACCATCGTAAATACATGCTGGTTGCCAAGTGCCTGAATTTTGATCACGTGACCACAGGAATGCTGTAGTGGTCGTAAGTGCAAGGACCGCTCGTAAGTCACTTTTTTTTAGCACCATTGTAACTTTGAATGGTCGCTAAAAGAATGGTTGTAAGTTGAGGACTACCAGTAATTGCTAGATTTCTTAAAAATATATAGATATTTGCTCTGAAAGCAAAGCTATCCTATAGTTGGTTGGAGCATCCAAAACAGAGGATAAGATTATGTTGGAGGTGTAAGAGCAGGTAGAGCAGAATAAGTGCAGATGTCAAGATGTGAACTTGAATCGAGACCTGGCATGAAGAGGTTCAAGGCCAGGGATGTCCACTGGGTATGTGTGATGCCCATTAAAAATGGGCAGAGCTTTGATCTCTGCCATCTTGATTTTTTGGATCACACCCCTGTCCAAGACAAAGGCCTAGCATGGTGGCATTAGAGCAGTGCTCCTTCAGGAGTCTCAGTGGACTCACAGTGTCTGTCTGTCTGTCTGTCTGTCTGTCTGTGTCTGTATCAAAATCAGCAAGAGGGCAGGTGCAACATTGCCTCGCCCCTTGGGTCCATGGGTGCAACATATGCAATTGTAACCCTAGGCCATGGATGCTCATCAGCGGATCCATGATTTCCCCACTCAAACTTGCCAAGATGACACTGTTACACCAAGTAGTTTCCTTCTTGGGGCAGAATAGAGGAGGAACCACGTGGTGTCCTACTTTCCATTTCTATTCTGCTGCTCTTAGGCACATAAAAGGGTTAACCTTGGGACAAGCAAAGGCCACTCCCTCTGGAACTGCCCAGGACCCACAGGACCCACAGGACTGTTTCCAGTGGCTCTGCAAAGTCCTGTCCTGATATAGAGCAAAGCTGAACAATGTCAATTTTCGATATTAAGTTTATCTCTTCCCTATTTTTCACACCCCTCTTTCTCCTTGCTTTTTTATCCCATTTTTGCCACTTAAAGTTTTGCTAATAAATGTCAAGTATATTTTTGGCTGAACCTGAACCGAATAATGTGTGTGCTTGCCCTGATCTGAACAGAGGGATTGATTGGGACACGCACTAAACTGGAAGTTGCCCACTGTCATTCTCCAACAAACTCAAGTAAACGAGCTGAGAAACCATGCGAGGGAGGAGTTGATAAGGTCAGCAATAGAGCCTTTTTCCTTTGTGTGATATGTACCCTGATCTGCTCCCCAGCCCCTCGCATCGTGAAGTTTGTCAAAGGCCTCTCCAAAATTATAGCAGAAGAAGGTAAGGAGGCGGTTTTCAAGTGCACCGTCTCCCCCAGCGATGCAGCCGTCACGTGGAGCCACCGGGGAGCCAAAATCGAAGCCAGCAAGAAATACATCGTTTCTCATCAGGACATCAATCACAGTCTTACCATCACCGAACTGACCCTCCAAGACACCGGTGAAATCACAGCTGAAGCCGAAGGAACAGACAGCAAAGCCCACCTGAAAGTGGAAGGTGAGAAATGTCAATAAGAGGTAACCATGCAGGTGTAGGATCTCATTTCTCAATGCTTTCCCATTTATTTAAAAAGCTCTTTGCAAATAGAAACCTAGTGCCTCAAGGTGAGATCTTCGAAAAAAGCCATTTCCCTGGAGTGCTAGTTTTCTTCTTGCAAGATTCGTTTTCACACAGGTGGTCTGTAGAGATAGATTCCATTTTTTTAAATAAGAACTTTATTAAGTTATAAAAAACATAAAGATAAAAGCAAACAAGAACTAAGAATCAAAGAAAGAAGTGAGAACAGGCGAGTTAGAAATAAAGAAAGGATACAAAAGTGATGGAAAATAAAGACGGGAAGAAAGGAAAAGTTACAAAAAGAATGATTTCCGGCTTCTTATATAGCAGATATAGATAAATCATATTAGAACCTCTTACTCTAAAACTACATCTTAACGTACATATTTTGTATGACCTATTATTTTAACTAATCATCAAATCCATATATCATAATTTCAATAGATTCCCTTCTTTTGTGTTGAATCTCCACCTTATTTTTCTAAGGAAGTGACCCAGAATAAGATGGTAGATGTCCCATCTAGAAGAAAAGTTGCAAAAGTTTTGAATGAAGAAAATATTAATGCTGGGTGAAAAGGTTGCTCCGATTTAAATATGGCCTCTTTCACTCGGGAATGGTGCCAGATCCAACTGGAGCAATCTTCTTGCAATTTACTTTCTTGGTGGCTTCTAATCTCTTTGGAAAAATCCCCAGTGCAGCCATGGGCCAGTTTTGATCCATCATCTTTATTTATTTCAAGCATGAGTTCACCGTACTGCATTATCCCCAGAAGAAACTAGCCAAGTGGGATTTATTCAAGAACCCATTTGTTCATGGTGGAATAAATTGTGATTTAGCCTGCTATGGAAACCCAGCTGTTTGGATTCCTCTGAAAATGCAAACTTGCTGAGCAGATGATCACGACAGCTTCTTTTTTCTCTGCCTCCATTCAAGCCTCGCCACAATTTATGAAGGCCACTATTTGTATTGCTTTGAATCTTCCTGATTCTGGGCTTTTGATCTTTCTCAACATTGTTTTTGGGTTTCCTTTAATTAGAAGCACCAGTGTTATTCCTGAAGAAGCTGGAGGCAAAAGCTGTGGAGGAGAAGCAGACAGTGATGCTAGAAGTAGAGCTGTCCAAGCCAACCGCGGAGGTGAAATGGGCAAAGAATGGGAGTCTGCTTCACCCAACTGCCAACATGGAGATCAAGGCCCAGGGGACAAAGCACAGCCTGGTGATTAAGAGTGCGGCATGCGATGACCGCGGGTTTTATTCATGTGAAACTCTCCATGACAAGACGCAAGCCAAAGTCACTGTAGAAAGTAAGTCCTCTCTTGGGGCTAATTTGGAGGAATGCCATACTTGTGAGAATTGTAGAATCCTAGGGTTGGGACATTGGAGAACTTCTAGTCCAGCCCCCTGTCCAGGGCAAGAAGCCTTGGACCACCCCAGATAAATGATTGTCCAACCTTTGTCTGGAAACCTTCAGGGATGGAGCCCCCATGGTTTCAGGAGGCAGGCTGTTCCACAGCTTCATAGTTCTCACAGTCGGGAAATTCCTCCTCTTTTTGAGTTTGGATTACCTTCTGTAATGCGTCCACTCCTTGATTCCTCCTTGGGCACTATGGAGAATAGCCACTTTCCTGGGACAGCCTTCAAGTAGTGGAAGACTGCTCTCAAAATGCATGTCTGGCCCTGTAGCTCAGCTGGTGCTGACTTCTCCAGGGATCCCATGACATATCAAAGGACTAAGTTTTATTGAGAGCAGATTAACAGCCAGTTAAGACAACTGATCAAATTGGATAGTGAAGAACTCTCAATATACATTGACAATCCAACTCTTCTAGCCAGTCCAAGTCTAGCTTTAAATTCCTCACAAACCCTTCCATCCTTGAGGTACATTGAATCTCTTTATTTTCCACTTTCAGAGAAATAGAGAAAACAATATCCTTGACCTGAGAAACTCCTTGCCTTTCCAATGCCTTTGCATGTCTTAAAATATCTCTACCCGTTTCCGTATTTTTCCTATTTTTAGTGAACAATCTATCTTTCTGGCTTAGTTTTTGCAGCTTTAGTGTAAATTGCAATCAGTGACTTCAAGCTACCGTCTTGGTCTTGATACATTCATTTTCAGAGCCATACTTCTTGTTGCATCATACAATTTATCTAATATTTGCTGCAGATCAGTTGGTTCTCAGCCAACAACTGCTATCATGTGCATACAAAAGTCCATGTACATTCATATCACAGCCAGCACACTTCTAATATCATAAGTATTATTTATATATTAACCCATAAATACATTAAATAACCAAGGGGACAGCACACATCTTTGTCTTATTCCCTACACAATGTTGAACCATTTACTAAATATTCCATTTATCTTCATGCATGCCTTACTCCCATTACAAACCACTCTTAAAGGTAGTCCTTACTTAACAACGCTAATTGGGACCAGATTGCCATCATTAAGCAAGGACCTCACGTGACCGTGACTGGTGACTTCCTGTTGGCTTCCCCATTGACTTTGCTTGTTGGAAGCTGTCAGGGAACATCAGAAATTGCAATCATGTGACTGTGGGACGCTGCAATGGTTGGACGTGCAGGCCAGTTGCTGAGTGCCTGAAATGTGATCACGTGACTGTAGGGGCACTGTGACAGCTTCAAATTCAAGGACCAGTCATAAGTACCACTCGTTCAGTGCCATCATAACTTCGAATAGTTGCTGAATGAATGGTCATTAAATGAGGACTACCTGTATTACATTTAACAACCAACGTTCATCTCAACATTCATGCAAAACATCCCATTATTTAAGCCTATTCACTTAAATGTCTTTAGATCATAAACTGATGTTTTCCATCAGGTCTGAAAAGTGTGAAGCCTACAACTCTTCCATGGTAGCTTCTCAGTTCATGGGGAAAGTACTCATAATACACCCACTATTTTCAATATGCCGCTTAGGTCATGCAAGTTAAATGGGTGAGTTGGATTTCCACAATACAAGAACTCATTCATTTCTGACCTCCTATAGTATTGCGGGATGAACACCTCCTTTGCAATTTTTGTGGGCATTCAGTTGGTGTTTTCTAATCTGTTCACCTGCACTCTTCTCTGAAATAACTCTCAGATGCCTACAAGCACATTTCTCAGTGCTGACCGCATATCTACTGAGAGCTATGTTGAATTCTTTTCCATATATTGCCCTGTAAGTGAGATAAATGTCAAGAAAGAGACTTTGAAGAAACTCTGTTGTAGTGGCTTTAGTTGAAGACTAGCTCCTGTTAAATGTTCATGCCAAAGATAGAACAGATCACTTGTATGCCAAACAGATCAATGGTGTATTTTAAAGGATGTTTTCACATTTTTAGGTAGCCTTACTCCTGGCCATCGCTGTGATGCAGGTGGGAATTGATGAATTCGCCAAGCAGGCGGTTTAATTGTTTCTCATTTTTTGAATATATCAGATTGGCTCATCATTTTTATGAAAATGTCAAGTTCTGGTTTTAAGATTTTTTTTTTTAAATCTGCAGTAAAATTTGTAGGAATGTTGGTGTGTATTTCTCCAAGCCTCTGCCTTTTGTTGGCAATTTGGCTCAAGGTACACAGTTTTGGCAAACAGTGTTCCCTAATATAATGTATTTTCATATTTATTTTTAGATATTTTATATAGACCTTTTTCTTCTCTTTTTTAAATTGTTGATGAACCACACTGCAAATTAGGAAACCTGTGGATTTCAAATGAGAACAAAATGAAATGCTATGTGTTTGTTTCAAGATGAGTGGCAGGCTGTCCTATTTCCTCTCAATTGAAGAGTGGCAAATATGAGCTTTACAGGTAGTACTTGACTTACGACCACAATTGGGATTGGAACTTCCATCGCTAAGCGATGCAGTCGTTAAGTGAGTCATGCCTGATTTTACAACCTTTTCTTACCATGGTCGTTAAGTGAACCTGGCTTCCCCCATTGACTTTGCTTGTCAGAAGCCCCCTGGGATGGTTGCAAATAGCAATCACGTGACCTCAGGACACTGCAACTGTTGTAAATACATGCCGGTTGCCAAGGGCTCAAATTTTGATCATGTGACAGCACAGATGCTGCAACAGTTATAAGTGTGAGGACCGGTCGTAAGTCACTTTTCTCAGCACTGCCATAACTTTGAACAGTCATTAAATGAATGGTTGTAAGTCAGGCATTACCTGTATTTTGACCCAAACATGTCTCATCCATGTTGTTCTGTTTCCAAGTGAGACCCATCAAGCTGATCAAAGGACTGCAGCCAATGGATGTTCATGAAAAGGAATCTGTCACCTTTGAGGTGGAACTGTCCCATGAAAATGTGGAAGCCATTTGGATGAAGGATGGTCTACGTCTCAAATCACAGGACAACTGCCACATAACTGTCCAAGGGAAGAAGCATTCACTGACCCTTTCGTCCTTGACACTTGAGGACTCAGGTCTTGTTTCTTTCAAGGCTGAAGGTATTCACACAACAGGCAGGCTTAACGTGAAAGGTAGGCACTCAGATACCTCTTTTAAATTATGGATGGCAGTTGTGCCAACTCACCCATTTCATTTCATTTTATTAAGGTCCTAGGTCAATAAAACACAAATACAAATATTAAAATACAGGAAAAAACCAAACTGAAACAATTTTTAATGAGAAGAGGCTATCACCTGCCTTCTGCAAGATATAGCTATTAGTAGAAACTTGGCAACCTTTGTAGTGGTTGTCCAAGTTACGTCTTGCACAAGGAAGCCTGTAATTCCTTGATGAGAAAGATGGCCAGCATATTTGATAATCAGGTATATGAGCACCAGACACCATGGATGGTTCAATGAGCAGGGTAACAATACATAGATTATTGACTCAACTGGGCAGAAACACACACAATTGTCCTGCAGAAGAGCAATAACTCATCCATTGGATAGATGGAATGCCTGTCCAACGAACACAGTTGACTGTGCATCAGTTCCATACATCAAACCATTTGGCTGAGCACAATCTGTGTTTGCGGAATGCAGCTGTGACCACTGAACATCTGGCTGGCAAACCTGTTGACCGTTAGAAGCTCCTTTCTTTTCCCCCAGGAAGATGTTTGGGTAGTTAGTGTGTTAGCAACACAATCAATACCCAAATGTAAGAGACGAGAAGGAAGGTAATTCCAGATGCAGTTGCAGAGCTAAACCTCTGAACTAGGTTCTACAGAGCTGATTTCGTTTTCTCAGTCTGTCGAGGATTCAGCAGGCCTAGAGATCAGTCGCAAGAGCCATGGCATGCTCAAGGTTAAATATAGGGTTGATATCAGACCTCAGATTATGAACCATAGGCCAGAGAAAATCAGTGGAGAAAATAAATATAGGAGAACAGTAATAGCAAACAAAGTAAATATGTTTCTGGTAGTTTTAGTATCCCTCAGAGTTATTGGTCAATGAGAACTTTATTTGTACAGCATTGTAACCAGAAACTTTGCAACCACCAGACATTTGTGAGCTGCAGAAAATATTCTCTTTGGAACTAATGTTGGCAATCCTAATGGTGTCTTTTACTCACTTGTACTCAAAATGATTCCGAGTCGTTTCAGGATGGAACTAGGAAAGTGAGATCCTGGTTCCTCCTGGTGGGTATGGTGGCCTCAGATCAATTCTCAGGCACAAAGCTTGAAAATGACCTTGATATGCTCTCTGCAGGTGGCATTTTGTTCTTTGTCCATTAGATGTCATAAGCAACTCAACTCACCCAGTCATGTCTCTCACAAGCTCAGTTTTCCTTTGATTGTTTACATTTTACTTCCTGGCAGAATCCCCAGTGAAAATCATCACACCTTTAGGAGATCTCAAAGTTCAGAACAAGGATGACGTAACCCTGGAGTGCGAGCTTTCCAGGCCTAACGCGGAAGTGAAGTGGCGTAAGGTATTGTCTTTATTGAATATAGGTCTCTGTACTTCTTCTCTCCAATGTCTGGGGTAGCACAACCCTATCTCTTGTCACAATGCATCTCTAGCTCCATGATAATAGATTCTGCTGTTGATGGAATGCATAGATGTTGTGTAAACTAGAGCATGTGTATCGAATTTCTTTGTCAAGTCATTTTCCTATCCAAAAAATGAAGAGCAATGTTATTTTCTATAACAAAAAATTTACCAGCTCTTGCAGAAGAAACAAGGGAGTTACTTTTCATCCTGTTGTGGGGTTGGCACAGTTCGCATTGGCTCTTGATGCCCAGGTTAATAATAGTTGGATTGAAGAACTGTATGTATCTTGGTTGAATGCTTGTCAGGACCTTAAAAACTTTCTTCCCACACAGAATTTGGCATGACAAAACTCATGTGATCAAGGGCTTCCTGAATCTGGTAAAATCTTCTGCCAGTAAACTCCCCTGTGGACTTCTTTGTTTCAGAATGGAGCGGAGATACGGCCAAATAAAAAGATGGTCATCGTTTCCAGAGGGACGAAGAGAAGCCTCACAATTCACACATGTGAATACGAAGACCAAGGAACATACATGTGTGACGCTGTGGATGACAAGAGCTCAGCTGTTTTGGAGATCTATGGTACGTTCCAGTGGCCGGAGCCAAAATGTGCTTCCTAAACCACTTTTGTTGGTGTTGGACTTTCCTCCTTGGAATCTCATCCAGGAAACAAGGGTCTAGGAGCTGTGATTAACAGTATTGAACAGAAGGAAGATTACATTACAACACAAGAATTGCAACAAGCACCTTCTTTTTAGACACAGACACAGGCACACGTGTTCCCCTTAATCATTTTGCTGGGGTCAAACCGCCCTCCTTGGACTCTACAAATAGCTCATCCAAGGAAGAAGAATTTAGGAACTGTCACTAATAGTATTTATTACAAGGAAGATTAAATTACAACACAAGAATTCCAGCAAGGACTTTACTTCTCTCTCTCTCTCTCACAGACAGACAGACAGACAGACAGACAGACAGATAGATAGATAGATAGATTTGGGCAATTTAAGGAGGCAAAATTCTTCACTTACCCCCACTTTGTCAATGCAGAGTGGAGAAAGTCGCCTCCTTTGTGAACAGACAGGACAGACTACATGTGTTTATCATTCTGACAACCACTAGGCTTTTTATCAGTGTGAGAACTATTTTTCTGGTAGAAAAAGATGCCCAGATTTCAATCTAGTTCGGTGTTTCTCAACCTTAGCAACTTGAAGATATGTGGACTTCAACTTCCAGAATTCCCCAGCCAGCATGGCTG